GTGTTAGATTTGCATCCGCGCGCTTCGAGACCCACCACGCTATTTTCCGTAATTCCAACTTTTGATGGCGCTTACGATTCTTTATATACAGATAGATAATAATGCGTCGCAGAGGAACAGCATTATACAATCAGCGTTTCAAGCTGACTCGAAATATTTACTTTTTTTTGTAAGAGACCAGCTAACTTGAATGCCTTCTCTAGTTAGTATTCTGGACCGCTTTTCGAATCTCGAGTCATAGTTTGCTCAGAAATTGTTGAAATCATGTACTGGCATGACCTACTGCGGGATTAAAACTACTATAATTCTATTAGTGGCCCCATCTGATTTTCCTGATTCAGGGAATTGCTGATGATGTCCGAACAGGAACTGCGGGATATGAAGCGACTATTGGAGCTGTGCGCAGCTAAGCGAAAGTTCAGCTTGTAAAATGCGTTGAACGGCATTCAGAACTAGCTGTCAGCGTCCTTTACGTTCACTGTGCTGGTCACATTAATAAGATGAAAATTATGCACCGCTTGTCCGTATTCTAGCTCATATTGATTGTTCTCTTAAGATTTTCACTTCTCTTTTTGTAATGATGTAGCGATTGTTTCCCATGATTGTGTGTTGATTCTGATGCTCTCTTTTGTTGATTGCTAGTATGGAATGCGCCTTCAGCCCAATTTCGTTCGTGATATGTGAATGTGCGAGGTGACTAGTGTGTTTATCCAATTTCACTCTTCTCTTCCTTATCATTCCTCTTCCTTTCTGCTTTTCTTGTCGGTTGCCAGTCAGAATACCCTTAGAGCGAGTTGAATATCCTTCATTGCCGTCCACGTGTCTCATTAGCATTATTTGTGTGAGCATTTTCTTCTTACTGCGTTTCTCTTCGTAGTTGTTCAGGTAATGTTACGTACTTATTCCGAATGATCTACCATTGCTGCTTACTTCATTGCCTCAAGAGCCGATGCGCGAAATATTAAGTCTAAGTCTCGTATCATACAGATTTTATCATTATGTATAGATTTTAATTATTGCCGACATCGCCAAGGAATTTTCTCTCTTTTTCTCTCCTCCGTTTTTTTGTGATACCGGCTGAGAAATATGTCGCTATCGGTGTTTTCTGTGAATTTCGTCGCGAACCGTTAACACGGGCTCTTGCAAATGTGATATAGTTATACTGTGAACAGTGGAGAGTTCTATCTGTAAACACTTAAAGTTGGATTTATTGAGTCACATGGCGAATTTGCTGATCTGTTGTTAGCAATGAAAAAATTGTTTTTTATGAAAGATTGAGCAGTGTCACAGTACATCACGGTGAACAGAAAGAACGGGTAGATGAGTTAATTCGAGTGAAAATAGTATTTTCTTTATCACTTTGACATCCAATATTCTCATGTATTTTCTGAGAAAAGAAAACATTTTTACCAACGATATGACTTGCAGTTGTCTCGCCTAAGGAGATACACGTTTTTCCAAGTGAAAATATCCTAGACTATAGATGAGCAATAGTGACTAGATTTGCTGTTCAATTAGATACAGCGAGGAAAGACAGAGAGTATAGTAATCACAATAGAATAATGGCATTTTAATACTTTGAGCAAAAATTCTAGCAATGCTGACAGCTTTTTGGGCACTTAATTTTCATATAGTCTTTGAATATCTCTTGCGTACACATTCCACTAATGGCCCATCGTTCACACCAGGTTCTGAAAATGCTAACTTATAAGATGGTCAGTAAATAAAAGGAAAAACTGGGCACCTTGAGTCTTCGCAAGGTTTTGGAGCTTCCGTGGTTTTCACTTCGCATTTTCCACAACTTTTAGGGCAGTTATCTGCCATAAAAGCTTCACTAAATCTTGATTCGCAGTGACCAGCTCTAGCGAGAAATTCGCAATCGCGTCGTCTGAATGTTGTTTTCAACTTGATAATTTAAAATATTAGTCAAAAGGTACCTATCTGCACATGTTTTGGAAATTATACTGTTGCTTTTTTCACTAGTCCCTGATCCAACTAATTTTCCTGATCCACTAGGTCTCTTTGTGTCTATTTTAATATCTGCCTCCTCTTCCGACTTCTCAACCGTTTCGGTTTCCGGGACGTGCGTAGAGTCTTCTTCTAAAATCATTCGAATATTCAAAACATTTCAGATAAGGAAACCTACCATCTTTTTTGCAGTTGTATAATTTGTTGATTTTGTACAAATCCGTCTCACTGAATCCATAACGTTGACCGATCTCCACTCCTTTCTTTCTCGGTTCTATTGTTGGTTTGCCATTCTGAGTTTATTAATTTAGGAGCTGTGTACACGCAGCATTTAATGGCAATCAATTCACTAGTGAATTCTCCAGTTGTACGTTTAGTGACATATTTATTTATTTATTTTATTTTATTTATACACTCAAGGTGTGCTATAAAAAAAGACAAACAGCAAAACATGATGCCAGCTAGTTTCAAACCGGC